GAATTTTTCTTTGTCCCACGCTCGTGTCATGTTGATTAATTCACCTTCACATTTCATTACCGAGCTTAAAATTCACCATCTTTATTAACTTATCATTGAAACAATCTTTGGACAACCTTGGTGGGTAGTTTTTCAGGCAATTTGTTGCATTAAGGAATCAATCCAAGTGAAGTTTGAACAATTTTAAAGCAACCTAACGGAAAGACCGTCTGTTATCCAACTGGGCTGGAAAGCTAAGCTTATTAAGATTATATTAGAGACTTTGAAAATACTGACTCTTCAGTACAAGTACAAAGTGCTGTACGACAAATGCCGATTCTGAAGAATAAAAAGAGTTCTTCTACATTAATTAGAAGAAAAGAGCATAAACTGACCGGTACTTTCTTTTGAGTGACAACCACTGCTGAGTCAGCCCCTCGAAGACCAATGGAGGTTAGTCCACCTTGATTTATCGCTTTGAAAGCATATTCTGTGGACAGGAGAAATCGAACATTGGCGACTGAAAACAGAAATAAACACTTTTGCACCTGTAAACTTACCAACTTGGTATAACCGCCCTTCTGGCGAAAAAATTGTAATGTGTCGGTCAAATCCAGCACTCGTACCACGCGACATCTTGGATTTCTGTCCAATGGAAAACACGCGCGAGGACTGGGGTAGATGACTCAGTTTCCTCCGAAAGAGGGAGGGGAGGGGAGGGGAGAAGTTTGATTCGTGTTCTCCAAATCTATTTGTTGTTGCTCGGATGTTGATGTTGATATTACAGTCTAGTCAACACATTCGGCTACAAGTGTATGGGCTGGAAAAGAGAGAGTGACCCAGTCAATTGACTACTAACTATGGTTGAAAGAAGAGGATTTGTAATCTAGCGCAAGGTGGACAAAAAAAGCCAGAGGCTGACAAATGGCTCAATCGTCCCAGTCGCGTCTCTCTTGTGTTTCAGGCTTTAAGGGGCACGCAAAAGGAGCTATTGAAGGGGAGGGAATGAGTCAGAGGCAGTGCGAGGAGATAGTGGTGGCTTCATTTACAAATAACGACTGTATAACGTTCTTTATAATTAGATGGCTGAGTATGTTTCAGTAAACAGCCAATCTCGTTCCTCGGGTCTTGGTTTCTTACTACGCAAGACTCTGGATACGAGGTTGGAAAATAACCTATAGCAATGCGCGTGGAGAGTTTCGTCCATATCTGATTGTCTCTCTAAAATTCACCCGACACCAGTTATCGGCGTATCGCAAAAACTAATCTCAGTTCCAATAAGAATCTAGAGAATTCTACACAGGATACACCAGCTTAATTCAAAAGTCAAGGAAACCACATTCCATAACAAAACAATTTATTGAGCTATGATGAGCTGACAATGGTTCAATACATGCTCTTTAAATTTGATGATTTGTAGTCTATACAGATAAGTCAGGTTCAGGAGCGGTAGTGCTGTTAACAGGCAGTGCAACATATTCAACAGGACAGCTATCTGGATAACTGCATTCTTGTTCCACAGTAGAGATGCAAGTGTCAGGCTGTACTTCAACTGACTGGATACAAGGCACGCGCTTCTGTTGTGTCACGTGCTTGGACGAATGTTGCTGACGCGCAGCGTGTTGCACGTGCCGCGTGTTGTCATCACGTGGTCGCGGGATTGACCGGGGCGCAGGGAAATCGTGACCGACGTGTCGGCGGCCAAAATCAATAGATCTGGCAATGTACTCGCGGCCTTGGTCTTCAGAGTTGTTAGTGTAATCGTAGTTTTGTTGAGCAGTAGGAGAGGACTTCAATAGATGCTTAATTTGCACCTCTAAAATACTGCATTCCAACATTTTTTCACGATACAAGTGTTCCGCCATATTGAGCTGTGTACGGAAATGCTGAAGCTGTCTTTGAAACTTCTGATTGGTGACTGCCAGCTGAGCAGCTGCCATGGACATTTGACGACGCAGTCCACCATTCTCACGCAGCACTCGGTTTCGATGTTTCCTGACTTGAGTAAACTGTTTCTGCAGTGTTTCTTGCTCAATCTCAATCTCTCTGTATTTCTGCTCCCAATCCTCTTCTTCGTCCACCCTGTTGGCCCAGGAATAACCAGGTTCCTCGCTATGTTCACCTTGCACCTTGTGAGAGACTCTTAGAGCCTCCAGTTCTTCCTGAAGGGAACAAACTTCACAGCGTGCTGCCTCCATATTTTCTCGCAATTCTGCCGCGCTGCAAAGAAGTTTCTTCTTTTCTTCTTCCAGAGAATCAAGCTTTTTCTCAATTTCATCTTTTTCAATTGTTAACAATTCATTCTCGGAAATCTTTTTCTCTAACTGGCTCTTTGCCTCCGCCATATTCACCTTGTTATGTTGGTATAGTTCCTCTCGTCTCTGTTTCTCCTCAGTTAGTTTTCTCCGCAGTGTCAATATCTCTTCCTCCGCGGTATTTAGTCGGTGTAAAGCCGATTGTTTGCTGGCTTGAATCTCTCCGTTCTCACGTGTAACCCTGACAAGCTGTGTCTTGATGTCATCAACACAGCTATCAGCTTCATTGCTTAAGCTTTCATTCATTTTCTGTTCAAGGTCAAGCTTTAGCTTGAGTTGAGCTAATTCAGCGGCAGCTTGTTCCTTTATTGATGTTAAATTTTTCTGTAGTTCAGTCAGCTCTTTTTTCAGTTGTGTTACTTCTTCTTCGTGTTCTTCTTCAATCTGTAAAATTTTTTCTTGTTCCTTGCGAAGGCGTTGATGTATCGTGTTAGCTTCTTCCTCATCTTGAGACCTCAAGTGCTGCAGAGTTTTGAGTTCTTCTTGGAGGGCATTTTTTTCTTCTGTAAATTTAGTAATCATCTCTTGAGCCTCTGTAAGTGCGTCGCATTTCTCCTGATGTAGTTTCTGCAATGCGGCCGCCGACTCCATACTTTGCTGCAGCTCGCTCTTCAATTCACCCACCGTAGTTTGAGTTGTCTGAAGAAGTTCCTCGACGTCCAGACGTTGTTCTTTTTCTGATTTCACAGTTGCCGATAGTTCCTCCACGTTGCCATTGGCTGTTTTTAGTGATGTTTTTAATTTCGTTACTTCCTTCTCGGCCTCCGTCAGCAAATCGTTCAAATTGCTTCTTTCAGTCTCCAGATCGCGCAGACTTGTTTCACTCAACTTTTTAACAAACATCATACACTCCTGTACAGCGCCATCCTTCACCTCATACACTTCTAATACATTGTGTTCAACAATGGACATATCTTTTTTCCCTTCGTCCGCCATGATTTCTCTCACAAGTCGTCGTGTTTGATTACACGTCACAAAGCTCTTATGAGTAATTTCAAGTGTGAGGTAGCGCGCGCGACCTAATTAGAATACATCATACAAAGTATTAGAGCGGTTACGTATCAAATTTAGTGTCGTAATACGACCAAACCAAAATTATGACCCTGGCTAATCACAAAGAACGCAGACAATGCAGTGAACCATTGAAACTCAAACCAAACACATGCATGTAACCGGTGCAAACCTGTCAACCAGTCACAATCCTCCGTAGGTAAAAAGATGGCAGCTGTACATGTTATCACAATACCATGCGAACCTTGCCAATAAAGTACAAGGAAAGCCATATTTTTGCAACATTTGCCCCTGTGCTAATGACAGTGTATGCGAGGTTTGAAGATTTAAGAACTTTTCTGTACGTTTTTATGAGCGTTGTTAAAGTCTTCGTGCGCTAAGAAGTCGGGGTAAATGTACCAGTGAAGTTAGTTTACCTGTGATTGAAACTATCAAGCATTTAGTGCCCCCCCCCCCCGGGAATTTGGTGACATTTTACCAACAAAATCAAAGCAGGAGCGGAGAAAGAAATTCAGTCGTTAAGAGCCAGCATCCGAGTTTCTCGTTTTACGAAAAACCAATTTACTCGTTTGAACTACCTCTTAAGTAATCTGACAAGCCCGTCTGACAAATACAATATTTCTATTTGTTGGATTATCTATCAGCGATGCACAGTACCTAGTGATTCACATTCTTTCTGTTTTAGATCAAGTAATAATTAATGCGCATGCGTCAGATGTAACTACCACTGATCAATTTGTGGATTGCAAACTGGTACTGGACTAGAAATAGCTTGCAATGGGGCATGTTCGGGAATGGTTTATGTCATTTCCATTTCAGAAGACTCCCCGCATCAGTCTCACTTTCAAGCTAGTTCCAGTCCAATCCCGAGAAGACTATTGCCTCGATTGCCAGACCTCATACCATGATAGAAATTAATAAACTGGCCAATATAGGTATGAGGTCAGTAATGTTAACAAAACAATGTTTTATTGACACCTATTCTGTAGAAGAGATGAATGTTCGAACTTTGGATGAAAACTTCAAATTTAGCGCCGGTAGCACAATCTAGGTCCCAGATGTAGTATGGCTGCTAGCCTGCATGCACGAGTCTAATGTTTCTTTTCACAGTCTAAAAAGTGTTAAAGAAAAATAGACATCCGCAGCCAAGCTATACACAAATTAGCTATATATATACATTTTAAATCTCTTTATAACCGCTTCTCTACAATGTCTTTTTCTTTACATTAATTTCTCCGGTTAAAATATCTGCTAATTTATAACAAAGATATTGACCTCATCACAAAGTAATGTACATGATATAAATAACAGTGACCTTAGTGTGTGACAAATAACGACTCATTTCCACGTTAGCCCTTTAACAAATTAATGTCGGACGTCCAGCCAACATTTCAATAATATCGCCCTGTAAAGCTCCTCACACGACCTCTTAGACCATATCCCAGTGAGCTCGAAAATAATCCTCACTTCTCTTGTAACGAGCCGAGTGAGTTGATTGTATTTCAAAGTTTCTCAGGCAGTTCTTTAGTACTCGCCCTAAGTCCTTGGAGACTGTATGAAGTGATCCCAGTATCTTGTAATATTAGCATTACATGAACTTGTTCTGCCTGCAACGCAAGGATCTGTCCTCTGATAATTGATGCTTGGTCAGTTGATGGCAGTGTTTGAGGCACGAGCAGCTTTCACTGTGTTGAGTAATTCGGTATATGCTGGGGTTCGGTTTTCTTCAATGCCCAACTCCTTTATCTAAAAGAAAGGACACAAATTTGCAGACAATCACAAATAAAACGTTTCAATCGCGTCATTTACGTATATCAGTATAAATAAATTAATACATTTTTGCGATCTAACATCAATCCTCATATCTCAGGAAATCTCACAGTGAAGACACTCAAACCGGCCAACGACACCTGAGATACCTTTCACAACGAAGCGAAAGCATCAGCAAGGACATATAAAACAGTTGCTTAGCGTAAATATATTTCAGTTTGATTCGTTTCTCTCACAGAAATCGAGTTTCTTTACTTTTGAAATGCACGCGAACAAACTGCTTTGTAAAATGGCGTCGACAAGTCCGTAACACTGGTATCAAGCTTTTGATAACCTTATCTTTAAGGTAATTTCCTTGGAATTTTTTTGGCAAATTTCTGTCATTTGAGTGCGGTTAGTAAGAAGTTACACATCATCAAACATGGTTAAGACTAACTCAAATTGAGGTGTATTAACGAACGATAATTTTAAAACAGTTTGGCAACAGTTTGGATCCAGTATCTGCAATGTAGTTCCTTACTGCTCGTCCAAACTCTTCCGTGTCGAGAGTGAATTGGAGCCGAATCTTGTCGTCATCACTCATAGCAGACTGGTTTTCCTGGTTGAGTGCTTGACTACTCGCTCCAGATCCCGGCTGTTTCCTGGATCGCTTCAGACGCATTAGACTGTCCTCGGTTCGTTTGATGGACGTTAACACATCACCTGTAACCGCGTGATACCTGAAACCAAAACGGCGAGCAGGTTATACTCAGTGGTCCCGAAGGGTCCTCCATAGAATAACCTTTCACGAGGAGAAGCCACCCGAAAGGAGGACCTTTTGCAGGCTTCAGGCATATAAAAGGGTAAGGATTTTACAAATTCAGGTATATAAAAAGGTAGGGAAATCTGTCATTTACTAAATGACAGATTTCCCTACCTTTTTATATACCTAAATTTGTAGTAGGTATTTAGAGGAGATTTTAATGTCAGGTGTATCGCAGCATTACGTCCTACCAACCTACGGTGCCAGCTGATTTTCCGGTCATTAAAAAAACTTAAAGAATTTCAAACATAATTCGCGTTCTTTATGGCTGCGTTCTGCGATAACCTCGTAAAAGCGATAACCTGCGCTATATCAAGGTATTTCCATAACGCGCTTGCCCAGGACTTTAATCCGTCAGGTATCATTGACCATACAAAGAACTCACTTGACAAGCAACGTTTGTAGAATAGCCGCTGCCCAGGCTTGACGCTGCTGTTGTTTAACAAGAGTTTGATTGTCCTCCATGAACTCACGGACAGGCTTCAGTACGCTGCTCACAAACGTAGACGCCTTACTTGGAGCCTGCAATATCATCATTATAATCCATCAAATATTTTCGCTCGCGCGCGATTGGTCTAAACACGTTAAGTGATCAAATATTCCCCAGCTAAAACTGGGGAATATCCGAGATTATTCGCCAATTTTCAAAACCGCGTGCGTTGCGAAAAAGATTTGAAGGATAATAAACACAATAGCCTCCATTTGGCGCGAAAATATGCTCGGATATTTGTCCTTGGACATTATCTGTTCCTCAAAGCTCACAGCTTTCCTCCAGCTACGCTCTCGGAAAACTGTTCGCTTCTCGGAACAGATAATATCCGCGGACAAATATCCGAGCATATTTCCGCGCCAAATGGACGCTATTGTTTATTTATTACATTACTAACAGCCAATAAGTAAAATCGACTTATTCCTTCACTTTTTTGTCCTACGCTCACGAGAGGCTGAACATTTCATCTTTACATACTAGATAAATTACTACACGTGCTGCTGTAATTGCTCTGTCGTGATAAGATTCAGCTTAATAATGAGTTACCTCTTTATTAGTCCTCCGGTACAGTCTCGGGATATTCTTGGCAGCTTCAAGCCCCTGTGAGGCCTTGTTTACCACTTGGCTCACAATTTGACCCTCCAGTCCTGGCACCAGTTGTTGAAGAGCCCCACAAGATTCTAGGATGGCCTCTAAAAACAGCAAAGAAAAACAGACTTAGTTGCTTTGCTAGGAGAGACACTTGGTGGTCTACGGAAAAGAAACGGCTTTATTTCCCCCCCAAAAAATATCAATCTACCTGAAAGCATCTCTGTGTCTTGAATGTTTGTTTGACGTAGCTTTGGTAAGATCCCTTGTCTGAAAAACTCAGGAAGCTAAAATTAAAACAAGAAACAGAATTTTCAACACACAGTTTAGTAAACAAGCTAATACAAGACACCTAAAGACTGCCCGCTTAATGGCAGTATGATAAGCACCACAAACATAGTAGAGTACTATCTCTGATCAATATTTGAGACATTTACTTTCTGAACAATACAAACAGATCCCAGACTACATTTTTTTGGTTGAGGCTGTTTTTCACTGGCACATAAGCATAAGCCAACACACACAGATGAAATAAGATGTTGTTTATTAGTACCCTTTGTTTGAAAATTTCTCAACAAAAGGCGTTACTTAGCAGCACCTTACTGTGTCTGTATATGTTGCTTATTGAGCAAACCAGCCTTAATCATTCCTACAATGTATATTGCTTCAATTGAATCCTACCAGCTCCAGAAAAAGTCGGTTATTTTTAGAAAATGACAGTTTCATTATCGCAGTCAGTTAACGTTAGAGCTTACCTTTGTAAGAAGTGTATTTAAGTCACTGAGTAAGTGAACTAAATACGATGTGGTCACCTCACCAGTAGCTTCACTTGTGTCGCCATCACTGATCTAAACAATATGAGCACCAGTTAGCTAACTATATCAAATACTGTCACTCTGAACTCATTTGTTTGTGGTTGCACATGAACGTCCCCACCTTGCACTTCTCAGTCAAAACTGCGAGTGCATACCACAATTAGTATTACAGGGCAACTATACTTACACTGGCAGCTCTTGTAGAAGAAACATCTTCTTTAATCCACACAGACAAACGTGACAATAACTAGACAATGGAAAAGAAAAGGTGGTTGGACTTGATGGCAAGGGGTCCAAATCTTCACGTGTGATAACAGAATTGAATCCAAATGAACATAACATTCACTAATTACTCTAAACTTCATCAAAAATATGCCATAAGGACTGTTTACATAACAAATCGAATGTGGTTTAGCATGGTCAACCTCGTTCCCAGGGTCCTCTCTCTACCTGGAGAAAGTACCCTGGTTGCGTCTGGTCACGTGTCTATGCATTCCAACCAAAGCCGCACAGAGGGTGGGTCCTGAACTTAATTTTGTCAACACTGTCTATGGAGGTGAAAGTTGCGCTGCCTTACAGACGTTATTTTGAAAGTCAAGCATGTTATTTGTCAGAGATCCTGCCTGACCGGTGCTTCGTTTCCATCTGAACTTCTATGAGTATGAGATGTTGATTGAGAGAAGAGTTTGCTTATTTTTCACTACTTTTTTTTAAATAACCGTCAACAGCCTGCTTCGGATTAGTTTAATCAGTTTTTCACAGCACAAGAATTAAATAACCGTCAAAGTTTCGAGGGGATGCATTCAATTCAATGAGAAGCTAGTCTCTCGACCGAAAATTGGACTTAAAGCTAAAGAGTTTTGAAACGAAAGCCGTTGGATTTTGCAAACGCGCGGCCGATGTTGTTGTTGTCCAGTTCTTAATAAAATTTTTCACTGCAACAGAATCGAATGACCGTCAAACTTTCGACTGGATGAATTCAATCAAATTTAGAGTTAGTCTCTTGGCCAAACACTGGACGTATCAAACTCTAAACGAATGAACCAATGCCGCCGTTGTGATTTTGCCGATCGAAAAATATAAACTTAAGCTAAATCATGCTTTAATATTCAGCGCGCAGACGTTGTTGATGTTGAGTTCTTCGTAAAATTTTTTCGCCGCAAGAGAATGGAATGATCGTCAAACTGTCGATGAGAGTAATTCAATCCAATTCAAAACTACCTTTGTAGGCGAACATACGACGTATTCAAGTTAACTCTAACGGAACGAGTAAAAACCTTCGTCGTGATTTTGCCGAATGAAAAATAAAAAGTGAAATTAAATTAATCGCGCGGTCCATTTATTGTGGTGGTGGTCGTGTCCAAGTTCTTTGCCAAATGTTTTCACTGCCACAAATTCCAAAGACCGTCCAACTATCGACGGGGAAAATTCAGCTAAATGCAGAGCTAACCTTGTAGCCGAAAACTGAACGCATTGAACTCCTATATCGAATGTGTCAATGCCTTCGCTGTGCTTTTTGCCGATCCACAACGGGAGGGATACAAATTCCACTCCCTACTAGGCTCAGTAGGCAATCTCAGTGCTGAGACAAACTTTAACTTTCCAGCCCCTCCATTCAATCACATCTCTGGGATCTGCTAAAATCTAGTAGACAGTGACCAGCCGCAACCAGGGTACTTTCTCGAGGTAGAGAGAGGACCCTGGGAACGAGGTTGTAGCATGGTCTGTACTCTTATCGACAACGATACGCGTCATCACAGTGGTTAAAATGTTGTAGAGTCACGAGGCGCAGCCGAGTGAGTCCACAACAAATTTTGATCACTGTGATGACACGTATCGTTGTCGATAAGAGTACAGACCACGCTAAACCACATTTCGATTTGTTTTTTTACCACAATATCATCGTTAAAGAGAATGTTTCTTTCAGAGCGAGAGCTGAAAAAGGCATTGCACGACACACTGACGCGAGCAGAGTGATCTGAACTCTTATCAACAACAGCAAATTAGCCAATCAGATTGCGAGATTAGCAGCAATTGTGGTAAAAAAATATTTTTAGTTACAGTGGAACCCCGTCTTACGGTCACCTCATTATTACGGCCACTTTTTTTTGCCAGGCAAAACGCTCATACATTTTCTTATAAGAAAGCCCCGTTAATGCTGCCACCCCATAAATACGGCCAACAGCCTCAGTCTGAAATTCCAACCTGTATAACCCTTTATAATTTTACCTGGTTTAGACAGTCACTCAAACTGGTCAGTTATGTTCATCTTTCCATTGTTAATATTTACACACTGATTCAAGTTTCAATCTTTGTTTCAAATTACATCTGCATTCCGGCTGTTTAAGTGCAATTGTGATAGATCTGTAAAGATGTCACTCGATTTAGACCAGTCATGAGGTTTGACTTTATCCCATTAATACGGCCACCCTGTTAATATGGCCAAATTTTCATGGCCTGTTGGTGACCATATTGATGGGCTACCACTGTACAATAGTCTCCTTGTTCCTACAAAGAGCAACTTCTTACCTGTAAGGTCAGCTTCCAAAATCTATGACACAGGGCTTGAATATATACAGAGTCCTCCCAACATCTCTCAATACACCACCACAATACACTCACAGCTGATGTTGAGTACAACTCAGCATCTGAGGGAATAATTTACCATGAGCATTAGTTAATAATCAATGAATTTTGACAAGAGATATACCTTGAGTATTGAAAGTGGAGGAATAATGAATTTCACATATTGATGAACAAAATCAAATCCAGTCAGTAATAAGGTACACTCGGCACAAATCACAGAACGCTTCTTTCCCGGAAGTATCCATACTCTCCCCACAAAGGAACTTTTGGTGTGACCCCCACCCCCTCATCCCTCCAGAAATTCCAGTTTAATGTTTAGCTTTTGAGACCCCCACCCCCCACCACCACATCCGTCAAAATTTTTGGTCACCTTCTATGGAGTGGGTATGGATATTTACTGGAACTACACAAAACTGTCAAATTTATTTCTTATCTTCAGCAGAAAAGTTGTGAGAAATGTGTCAAAATAATCATCCTATTCTCCCTCTTTTAATGGACAAGGCTTAACTTAATTTCCTGTCTACAGTAATCTTTAAGAATATTCCAACACTTAGCACATAAGATTTTCAAGCATCATAAGCTGTTCTTAATCACACTCACTGTACCTTTTGTTCTGTCTAGATCTTCAGGCAACTGCAGTGAATTTTCAAACTTATTAACTATCTCCTGAAACCTAAAAGTAATGATGGCAAAATGTAACATCTAAGAAATAGAAAACACATTTTCCATTTCTGTCATGTTCAATTAACATTAGATTACAAGCTCAAGTTTACTAAGTGATAGTTGATGAGGCTGTAGGCCAAATCAACCATAACCAATAGTAGTATAGCTTTGTATAGCTTTTAATGCATACTTTCTTGAAGGGCATTTAATTTCTGAAATAATTTGTAAATTTAAAGTGAGACAGAGAACTAACCTCAACTCTAGGAAATGCAGTCCCACTTCTTCTATGCATAGCTCATAAACACCATCACCTTAATTAATCATACACAACAGACTAGAATGGACGCGGTTAATACTCATGTTTGCACTGTATGAATAGATCTACAAACCTTATTTGAAAATAGACCGGTAAACTCCACCTTGCCATAAAAGCAGTGAAGCTAGGATGTGATCTCAGTCTCTGTACACTTGACTTTGACCCACAAACACCTTCAAACTTATTGATAAACCATATCGTGGTCATATATTTCTGTAGGAGAAAGGAGTAATGGTATGACACACTGAAAACAAATATCAATTTAACTTTCCTCATTAGGGATGGACATGACTGCTTAGCAGGCTAACTGAGCCATTCCAGACAGAAGAATTATATGTGCCAATTTTGTTACTAGTTGTAGATAATCTTCAAGATGTTTATTACTTCCTTATGTGTAAATTATTTGCTTGAATGTTCTGAAGAACAACAGTTTTCATTCTTACGCCAATTTTGAATATATTCTTTTTCAGCTCCTGCTTATCAGTGTAAGCATTCATGATTCTCAGTCACTGATTTTTTACCAGATACAGCGTTTTCAAATACTGGCAGAAACACTTCACTTAACAGAGACTTTTTTGTTGGAATACTTATCATCCACAAGCGACTTGAGGTTGCAGTTTGAAGGATACCTGCCGCACAAGTTCTACCCTGCAGCGCACAAGTTCTGCCCTGCAGTGCACAGGTTCTGCCCTGCAGCACACAAGTTCTGCCCTGCAGCACACAAGTTCTGCCCTGCAGCACACAAGTTCTGCCCTGCAGCACACAAGTTCTGCCCCGCAGCGTACAAGTTCTGCCCTGTAGCGCACAAGTTCTGCCCTGCAGCACACAAGTTCTGCCCTGCAGCGTACAAGTTCTGCCCTGCAGCATACAAGTTCGACCCTGCAGCACACAAGTTCTGCCCTGCAGTGCACAAGTTCTGCCCTGCAGTGCACAGGTTCTGCCATGCAACGCACAAGTTCTGCCCTGCAGTGTACAAGTTCTGCCCTGCAGCGCACAAGTTCTGCCCTGCAGCACACAAGTTCTGCCCTGCAGTGCACAGGTTCTGCCCTGCAACACACAAGTTCTGCCCTGCAGCACACAAGTTCGGCCCTAAAGCACACAAGTTCTGCCCTGCAGCGTACAAATTCGGCCCTGCAGCACACAAGTTCTGCCCTGCAGCGCACAAGTTCTACCCTGCAGTGCACAAGTTCTGCCCTGCAGCGCACAAGTTCTGCCCCCCAGGCTATGTTCTTTGTGTACCAAGGGGTATTTAACCATTATTATAATTATGGTCCGGTAACAAATCTTAACTTCTCCAATATTTGCTCTTTTCACAAATTAAAATGTCTCTTATATGATAAAAGGTCTTGGAGGATATGACAGTGTGGGATTAATGAGAAAATGCATCTTGAAAATTCTGAGTTAGAACTTAGTCTTTACCTTATTAACATAACCATTTCTTAACTATGCAAAAGATAACACTGTTAAGATGGCTAACAACAGTTCCCAACCCTTACGCACACTTACTGTATACTTTCATTGATGGATCAATAATACCAAACTTTATTTATCATTATATCAATTTTCAAAAACTTAAGAGGCTCAAAACTCCCTCTACGGAATTTTTTAAACTGTGCAAAGAATTGCATCTTACCAAGGGGTCCGTTTTTGGTTCGGTTTTTCAGTTTTCTCACTATAAAACTGCGGTTTTTCGGTTTTGGTGTCTGTGCGGTTTGCGGGTTTTCTCCAATTTAGTCTTTGGTTTTCAGTTTTTGTCAACAATGATAGCAGTTTTTCCGATTTTTCTGCCCAATGCATTTTATGGTTTTTCTGGTTTTGCCAAGGAAGTTGCACCCCGCAGTCGGGCTAAAACTCTAATTCTAAGGGACCACTTACAGTTAGAGGAATGCATGACAAGCCTAGTCTCGGCTTTAACAGCTGTTATTTGGGTCGTAACGGCTGCCAAGCAGACTATGAAAAGCTAAAGATAACATCAAAACAAAAGACTATTTCTAAAATATCACGTGGCTGGGAAAATATCTTGTGGACTTTGACCTTAGACTATGGACCATCGAGTTTCTAATAGCTCAATTGCGAGTTGTCTCCCCGTTTCGTCGCGGAAATAACATTGTGCTTCCTTGCTCCATTCACATGGAATAAAAGCAAAGGAGAAACTGTTTGGTTGTAAAATAAATTAGTTTGGTTATAAAATGGGGCTGCCATTGTGCCTACACAAATGAAAATTCTGACAGTGGAATTCAAAAAGTAACTTGAGAATGTGGTGTTTCTTTTAAACAAAAATGACCCAAAAACATTTTATCGTGGAAATTGCTTTTAGTTTCACATTGCTATAGGTCTGTGGAGCTGATTTACACAAATTAAAAAGCAGCTTTTTAGACCACGATGTGTTGTGCACTAACAAGGGAATACGCAGAGCATGTCAGAAAGTAAAATAAGCGATTAGACGTATGGAAATTAAATAACAGAAAGAGAAATTCTGAAGACTACCAAAGCTTTGTTAGTGAGGGCTTTTATTTTGGTTTTCGGTTTTGCAGTTTTTGGCGATTTTTTACGTGGTTTTTCGGTTTCTAATAGGCCCCTACACCCCCCTCCTTACCATGTTGTCACACAATTTAATAAAGAAACCGGAGGGTCACTTAGCTTGTTTTTAAATTACAAGCACTTACAGCTTAAATAAAGGGTGTTTCAACAAGTTATGATATTGCTATGACAATCTGTCATGTACTAAAGATGACAGCAGCTAGTCCACCAGTGAAGGAACATTCATTTGATACCATTATTGAAGTATCAGCTCATAAAGTGTGATAGCATTGATCTATCAAAGTGTAAGCGCTGGGGAGAGCTGAAAAGTGTTGGTAGTCACCTTAATAAGATCAGATTTTGAGGGATTAACATGATCCACTGAAATATTTATTTGCTACAGCAATATGACAACATTCACATGTTGGTGCTGAACTTAATTACAACTAGGTTCAACTGCCGCGTGGCAGAAACATAACTCTGATTCCAATGTTGTGACAGAGTCATAACAAATTCTGGATTTATTGAAGCCATGTAACAATATTATCTCCCTCAGAGCTTTATTATCTAGCTCTCTGCACGCACTGCAGGCCTATGATGAGGGAGCATAATTTTATCTCCCTCAGAGCTTTATTATCTAGCTCTCTGCACGAACTGCAGGCCTCTGATGAGGGAGCATAATATTATCTCCCTCAGAGCTTTATTATCTAGCTCTCTGCATGCACTGCAGGCCTATGATGAGGGAGCATAATTATTTTCCTATCAACTCCCCACAGCTATGGAATCCCACCAAAATACATTACATGTAATATAATTTACAAATTTTGTTTGGTGCAGAAGAAGTATAACATTTGAATCACTGCCATGTAAGAGTCATGCAGCATGGCAGAGCTTGTCGAACTTTAATATTGCTTGCCAAACTTAAGCTTGATTCAGATGCTGTACTTCTGCAGTGCTTTTGTTGAACTTAATTCCTGAATTTAGTTCAGCACAGCAGAAGCACGACATCTTAATTGGGACTCAAGCATGACAGTAAAAGTATCTTTATTTTTAACAAATTACTGACCTGATGAAAAGCATCTGGATTTCCAGGGGCAAAGATTGATCCAAACCGTGCCTCAACGAGACTCATGACTTCAGGCCACACAGCATTCACTAAAAAGTCAAAGCCTCGAATTCCTGCCCTCTGTTCACCAAACATCTCCACATCACTGGCTACAAACCTTCCTGATGTTATGTTCATCATCTGTGCACAGTGTTTGGGAACAAACTCAAGAACCTTGTTATAGACATTGTAGAGACCCTGTGAAGAATCTGTAGTCAGTGCCTTCTCAACAATAACCTATGGAACAATAAAAATACAGACAACTAGTCAAAATGTCATACAATTTCACATACTGCTACTGGTCTTCTCTGTTCCAATGCAAACATTTTGAAAAAATCACTAAAGAAATTCAGTTTGAGACCAAACTCTTCTGCAGGAATAGTAAAGAAATTTTTAACGAAAATAGATAACTGTAATTTTAACTTTGCATTTTCATTTTTTGATATGACGAAGGCTCAGACCTTGCCATCTTTGGAATTAAATCACAGCTACTGCAGTGGTGAATGATGAAGATTATAAAATATGCAGACATGTCAATTCTATCCATGTGTAAGATCAGACATTAGCTCAAAAAAGTGCAGGCCTTAATACATTGAAACTTAAATTTACTATTTCTTTTGTTATAGACATACAAAACAAATATTAAACCTTTCAGGTTACAGTGTTCAGAGTTTACTTATTTCTTCATTTTTGGGCTGCCTCTGAACATCTCTGACATTGAAAACAAATAATTTATAATTGTAGAATTGCCCATCTTGACAAACAAATATCAAAACGAGAAACTTGTAACAAGTTATTATTATGGTAAATCTGTTAGTTAGCTCCCTTGCTTTACCTCACTCATGTAAGGCTTTACAGTAACTTCTCTGAACAACATTTCAGCATCTTTTGTCTTGTCAATGATGGCATATGTTCTTAGAACACGAGATAGCAGATTCAGCTCTCCAGTCTGGAGTCCTTCTTGAAATGCTGCTTCCAATTTCTTTTGAAGGGTGCTTGTTATGGCTGCAATACGCTTTGTAGAAAAAGAAAAAGTGCCCAGCAATCAACTTACTGCAATAGCAAAAGTCTACACTAATAGACAGCGTGATTTATTCAACGTACTGACATTAACAAAAGCTTTATCCAGGACAAAAACAGCTGACCATTTCATTTATCTAAGTTTATTGCCAACAGTTTTTTGTTACATGTATAATTTTATCATTATTTTTAACAAATTGATGTTTACAGATAAGTGTCTATTTTGAAAATGTAATCACTCTCGACACATCCAATATAGTTTTGCATAAACACTGACTCTGACCAGGCTTGGATCTGTTTTCTAGTTGCTCAAAAGAGAGAATGATCTAACTTACAAGAGTTTCTTCCTTGGTAAAAGTACTAGACAGTCTTCTTTTACGTGTTGATTAGTTTGTGCATATTTTTCAGTTTGCCATTCACGGCAGTTTACTTTTTGTAGCCAATTTATCTACTGCAGCTCTGATTTCAGTTATCCTTTATCCAATGAGAAAAAAGTGATACATATCTAAGAGTCTTGTGTATACACAAAGTTACTACTGCTACAAAGTAAAACCTGAATTTGAGTTGAAGGAGCTTCTCTTTCAAGTTTGCTTTTATGTCAGGTGAAATAGAAACGCCACTTATAACACTTATAAATAACTGAAACATAACTCTAAATGTTCAGTCAGACTCAATAACAATTTGTTCAATAGTATTGGAGACATGTTATTAAACTTTTAATGCTTTATTACCCAAATTAATTTCTTGAACACTTTCAGTCTTAGTCTCACAGAAATACACTTAAAAGATGTCAACAGATTGTAACAATATTATTATAGTTAGAAGCAAAGGAATACATTAAATGTATACAGGCAAGTCTTATTTAGATTTTTTTTAAGAAAACTTAATATGAGAGAGGAAAAGATTAAAATACAAAAGTCCAAAACACAAGAAAGGATGAAGACGAGTCTGACTAACCCCTCTGATGCTTTCCACCAATGGATGACCTTGACTCTGAGTAACATAAAACTGCAGCTGATTAAACTCACTGGCCACTCTCTCAATCAGGTGTGAGTCATCATCCCTACAAGAAAATATTTTAATTTATACAAATACTTCTTGTAAAAACTGAAACAAAACTGAACTGAAGACCATAGCAGTGTTTGCTCACCCTTCGGGTTCTTTGGAGGACACATCCTGGGTTAGCCTTGACCCTTGTAATAGTCTCTCGATCTTCTCCAGTGACTTTGTGATGTTCAATAAATGTTGCATACACATCTTGGAAAGAAAAAAGACATTTCCAACATCAAGACTTTTGTTTCAAAACTTAATAATACCCATGCTTTAACTTTAGACCCACATCTAGTGGACCCACAATTAGTGCTATGATGAGTATTGCCAAAAGTCAATAAAGTAACTCATACAACCAGAATAACCCATAAGCCACTCATGTCCACAATGTGGACCTATTTTTTATGAAAAGAGTAATTCCATTTTATGTAAAGGTTAGCTCATGTCAGTCATCATTCACTGGGAAATCTACGACTTTGCTCATAGAGCACTTCGATTTAATGATAATACCTTTTTCTGTCTCAGCAATGCTCTTTCATCTAGTTTGTTTTGTATTGCATCAATAGTTCCATCAAGATCAGACTTAATGAGCTGAAAAATAAAAACATGCAATTGTAATTTACATGAAGGAGTATCAAGAGTGGGGTGATAATCACTTACTCAGTCAGTCAGTCAGTCACTAGGTTCTCCAGGCTGGATAAATTGTACTGCTGGTCAGGGATTGACTACAGGGAAGGGGTGACCTGTACCATTTACAAGGTCTACAAAGCTCTTAATAATTGGCCAAAAAATAGATAAAGAACAGAAACAATGCCCCTAGCCCTAATATTAAAAAGGTAATGGTTAACAATAATGAATGAGAATATCGGCTTCAAAGTGGTGCAAATCCACCCCAGGGAACAATAATTGAGATAAGAGGGACGGAAAGCTGAGAGGTCTTAGTTTTTGAGATTCAGAGGAGATCTTAGGTCTTTGGTCTTAGAGCTTAGAGCTTAAGTTTTGAGACACCCAAATGATAGCTCCAGATAACACAGAGAGATCACATATCTTGCGCCAAGTGTTGCGATGACAATCATGCAATTGCTTTTTTTAGGGAAAAAAGTAGTCAGTTTAATTATTTATTTAGTTTTAGCTTTAGGCTAATAAAATAGGCAAATAAATAAATTCAAAATAGTATGGGATGTGACGGGGGAAAGAAACAGAACCAGCATCCCAATTGCAATCTAACCCCCTAATACACTCAACATACATGTACATGCACTTAATATATACACTAAAAATAAACAAAAGCAAATAAAAATGTGATAAATATGTAAATTAAAGTTTAAGTATCAAACCTTATTAGTTTCTAGCCTGGAGGACTATAAATTCCTCGCTTTGATAAATGAATGTTAATTGAGCTGGTCTTAAACGTAGCGAATAAATTAATTGCTTTAGTACTGGATGGCAATGAGTTCCACAGTTTATGAACTATGTTGCTGCATTTATTTATTGGCCACTAAAATGCAAAACTTATTCCATGGAAATCACTGTGGTGGCCTGTTACTTCATACACAAACACTTACCAATACTTCTTCTTTCAGTTGTCCTAAAGGAACTGACAAACTGGCAATGTTCTTATCCATTCCAACCTGAAATAAACCAGTAAGGACGGTGGTCTCATGGTTAGTGCACTCACCTCCAGATCAAGTGGTCTGGGTTTGAGCCCTGGCTGGAAACATTGTGTTGTGTTCCTGGGCTGGACACTAAACTATAGCGACTAATTACAGGAATGGCTCCGACCTCCGAATGCACTAGGAATGAGTATGGTTAGCTATTTATAGCACCCGGTTAGTCTACCTTTCACTCAGGTTAGCCTACTGTTTGCTCTAGTTAGCCTAACTAGTGTTCCGGTTAACCTACTGAGTTAGCTCTTAATATTTGTAATAGTAACACAATATATTCTTAAAATAATTGCTTTCCAGCATCCAGCTCTATAGTGGTGTAGTGGTCATGAGACTCACTCATGACCCAAATGACCCGGGTTCTGATTCTGGCTTGCAATTTGTCTTTTTCTTTTTCCTTGTTTAGAGAGAAAACCTCAGTGTCCGGAGCCATTCCTGCAATTAACACCATGCCACTAAACTCTCACAGTGTCTCTGTATAAATATTTAATGCTGGGGGTAACCCTGTGATGGATTAACATCCCCTCCTCATGCCTCAGAAACCAGAGATAAGCGCCGGCCTGATGGGCAACTTGGCTCGTATCCAGGATCAACCTCTCAATACACCTACCGCAGTCTAAGGCTTAATATTTGTTCATTTAAGCTTACTGACAACAGTAACACATAACAGGAACTTGTCCAAAATGTACTTGCTTTATCGCTACTTAAGCAAACCAAGTACTCACCAGGTTTGTGGACAAATTCACGAAGTCGGCATAATCCTCGTTGATCAACTCAATCAGGGCATGTTTTAATGACTTCAAATAATCATCTAAATTTGCTTTCAGAGCATCTAGAGGAACGCTCCCTTTGCAGCTTCCAACAAAGCTATCCACACTAAAAGATTCCTTCATGAAATCTGCTCTGGAAAAGATAGCCGAGCTTGGTTCTCGAGGAACGATTTCCTCCAGAGAGTCCGCCATTTTGTTCCAACTCATCACATCGAAAAAGTGCCAGGCATCCTTCCCTCTGAGGCCCACTTTATGAAGGCACGTCAGAAGATCTGAAAAGTGGGCCCCAGCAAATATTGCTTCGAAGCGGCACATTCGAAAATAATCACGCTGACACGTTTTTCAGTTTTCGATTAATATTTATGGCAAAAGAGGTTGAAATTCAAGTGACTTTCAACGAAGGAGTCGGCCAGTCTATAAATTCACGACTGTTGAGGGGCTGCATCGAATACCTTCTGTACCAACGGCAACAACTTCCGATACCTTACCACGAGCTAATAAAATTGGTAGAAGATCAAGAAAAGTCGTGCGATGGCTTAGAAGCAGGCGTATTGGCCCGGCGATCCTTTAATACTGAATACAAGAAAGCTAAGAAAGTGTATGAAGACGTGGAATGCTTGTTTGATCACATAAACAAGCTGTTCCTGTCGACAAAAGTCAATGCTGCCATGGTTCTGCTCGGGTCAACCCCGGTCAGTCCAAAAGAACATTACTTTGTTGATTTTCAAAACGTTAATGAAGGTAAAACTGTGGACAGTTCACCAAGAGTATGCAATTCAGCTTGTCGAAAACTGATACGGAGCTTGATTTCGAATCAAGAACTTGGTTCTTTCAAGGAGATTTCTCCTACTTCCATGTTGGTTTTCATTCAGGTTAGCAGATCGTCCGATATTGAGTGGTTTCAACCAAAGCCGACTTTCAAGCCACCTCACCGAGGTCAATCCTGTAAAATAAACGTTAGGACTACCAGCTACAACGAACAACCGGCTGCCAGTGAGGGCGAACCCCCTGAACATAGCATCGATGAGTGGTTATGGTTTCAGGCTCCAGTTATTATCAGGGGGTACAGGCACAGAACCGGTGTCGGTCCCTAGTATAAAATAATGTAGGATTTTATTTTAAACAATATGCTCATTTTGGGAATCTTTTCAGACAGCCATTAGATGCTTTTATAATTGAGGATCTAAGCACCTTTCCCAAAGTAGCACTGGTGCAAAATGCATGATATGATTGACAGTTAAACTGGCACAAAAGTTTAATTGCTTTTGACCTTCTAGCTCTCCCATAATCTGAGAGCCTCCCAGATTCTGACTGATTCCTGTTTTTTTTTTTTTAAATCCTTGGAAATCTCCCAAAATGGGTAGTGCTGAAGCACCCATAGTCTGCAAAAAAAAACAGTAATACTACTACAAGTCAAATTTGATTTCCCTAGTTCCCTACACATTGGTATTAGTAATTGGACCGTGTGGAGGACAATTCATTGAGTAATTACGGATGAGCGTGACGTGCAAGGCCGATTTTACATTATGGGCACAATTACTCCCTGAATTGTAAGACACAAGGTCCAATTACTAATTAACCATATCTATTGCAAATTTTGGACTTAAAATGCTTTTTGAGAACTTTTTTTGAGCGAAAACGTCTGTAGCACTTTTCATGAGTTTTGAAATCTGTAGGAAACATTGCAAAGGAAGCCATTGAAGCGTGTGTAATTGATGTGCAAATAACATGTACCTGTAATAATTATTGGACACCCATGTAATTGCATGCCGATTATGTGACAAATAGGTGCACAGAGAACTAGTCACCATCAAGAATTTTGTTATAGATACCATTAGACAAAAAATTTTCCCTATTTTCCTTTCTGTGCCAAGGATTCGAAGAAGCAAAAAAAAGTGAGGGGAAAATTGCCATTTCAGTACAGAAGAGCTGCTCATACTCTCCTGATACATAGCTCTATGAATTTGCCCATGTTTTTCAGTTTGGTTCAGATGGACAGAGCACCAGTTTAGGGTTATACCATATTTTAGGGGATGGGCAAACCAGTTGCATACTTTACACTTAATTCATGCATCTATTCCACCCACTTTGCATAGTGTGTGAACCTGAAATTAGGTAATGTTGAAAGAAATGTGTAGAAAAAAGACTGAATGCTTTGTGGATCTCTATCCATGTCTGTCAAATTTGATCAGTAAAATATTTTGTTGGTTAGATCTTTAATATCTACAGACTATACTTATTTCAGATCAGTCTATGTAATTTTCAGTAGTACCCTGCAAAACTTGAAGATAACCAGCAGTAATAATTATTTCAACCCACTTTTGCCCAAGTCCTCATTAACAGCTTGTCTTTTCCATATGTGATAATGTTCTTAATTTTTATTGTAGTCCCTTTTTGAGTCTGATTATTTTGTGGTAGTATGCCAATGTACAGCAATTAGGACAATTTTCAATCCTGATACAGTTCACCATTGATGAAATGAATCTTACTTCCATAAGTCAATTGTTACTGGAAGTTTATTCCATATATTTGTCAAGCCTGCTGTTTTTAATGCTCTTTAACTTCAATATAAAAAGAAATTTTAAATGTACCAGTTTATTGATTGTCAATTCAGTTAAGGTGAAATCTGTGACAGGTTTATGAACAATCTTCAGTTACTGATACTGAACTGATAAATGAAACACTTATGGTGCCTGCGAACAGGCTCCCAGCTGGGTTTAATGCAAGCTAGCCGAGTGCAGTTTTTGTGATCTGGGACGTGCAGGGCGAACTGAGAGCGGTCTGGTGATGAGAGAGCTAAACAGCTTGCTTCGCTCGCCGAATATTTTTTCCACCCTTGCTGGGAACCTGTTTGCAGGCTACACTTATGGCTGCCTGCTGCCTGGCCAGTCATTACATTGAGTTCCATTTACATTGCCTGTCTCCACCCAGGTGTATAAATATGGTTACCATAAAATTTAACGCTGGGGGGTAAAGCTGTAAATGACTAGCATCCCATCCAGGTAATACTACGCAAGCTCCACTTGACCCGATGCATACCGCTGAGTTGAAACTCAGTCATGTTAAGGGGAGCCTCTTGATATCGCACTGTCAGAAACACACTTTCCAGGGATGAATACAATACAGTAAACAGCTGCATATAAGAACACACGATTTCAGAGGTCAGGCTGATTGAGTTCTTATTTATCGGGTGCTTAGTGACAAATCAGGCTCAAAATGTTCTTAAAATGTTCTTAAATTTTTATTTAGTAATACTGTCCAAAACATGTTTAGGCTGATCTTGTTCTTAGAAAAATGGGGCTTTATTGGCCAAATTTCAGCCTGGTGTTCTTAATCCATTTGTTCTTATGTGTAGGTGTTTACTGTAGCTCAAGATGGTCCAGTCCATTGAATTTTCACGTGAACTACATGTACTTCTACGGATACTTGGTCCAGTAAAGTGATTTGACAGTTTTCTAGAAAATGTAATTATGTCAGTACCTGTTATGGAACCACACCCCATTACTGTTTTCTGGCACTTTTTGCTTTACTTATCCTCTGGCCAGAAACTTGGGGTGTGTTTCTTTCACATGACACATGATCAGCATTGCAATCAATGATCTCAGACCAGCTGGTGGGTGCATCAAGGCAACCAAAGAATTTACTCTGTTCAAGGATTTTTTGGTTCCTTTAATGCACCATGATATGCGTGATTTGGTTTATTTATCCACCCTTGGTGTTGCACAGGTCCAGCACATGGTCTAGGAAATGTTGCAGAGTCGACACATTGAGTGAACGATCTAATGGTATTTATTTATTTATAGATCTTGCATGCTGCAAAATGTTTGTTTTACATTATCAGTCTTCAGTCTTAACTTCAAGACAAATGTTTTAAAAACAAAAAAAGAAACCTTCTCAAATGTTTTGTTGTAAATGCAAATTTACAACAAAAGATGCATGATGCAAAGGAGAGAAAGATATCAAGCAAATTTTAAAAGCAGAAAATAAGACCAGGGACATCCAATCACTCCATGTAGTAGACTTGGTTATCAAAGGGGGGGGGGGATCTCCCTCAGAGCTTTATTATCTAGCTCTCTGCATGCACTGCAGGCCTATGATGAGGGAGCATAATTATTTTCCTATCAACTCCCCACAGCTATGGAATCCCACCAAAATACATTACATGTAATATAATTTACAAATTTTGTTTGGTGCAGAAGAAGTATAACATTTGAATCACTGCCATGTAAGAGTCATGCAGCATGGCAGAGCTTGTCGAACTTTAATATTGCTTGCCAAACTTAAGCTTGATTCAGATGCTGTACTTCTGCAGTGCTTTTGTTGAACTTAATTCCTGAATTTAGTTCAGCACAGCAGAAGCACGACATCTTAATTGGGACTCAAGCATGACAGTAAAAGTATCTTTATTTTTAACAAATTACTGACCTGATGAAAAGCATCTGGATTTCCAGGGGCAAAGATTGATCCAAACCGTGCCTCAACGAGACTCATGACTTCAGGCCACACAGCATTCACTAAAAAGTCAAAGCCTCGAATTCCTGCCCTCTGTTCACCAAACATCTCCACATCACTGGCTACAAACCTTCCTGATGTTATGTTCATCATCTGTGCACAGTGTTTGGGAACAAACTCAAGAACCTTGTTATAGACATTGTAGAGACCCTGTGAAGAATCTGTAGTCAGTGCCTTCTCAACAATAACCTATGGAACAATAAAAATACAGACAACTAGTCAAAATGTCATACAATTTCACATACTGCTACTGGTCTTCTCTGTTCCAATGCAAACATTTTGAAAAAATCACTAAAGAAATTCAGTTTGAGACCAAACTCTTCTGCAGGAATAGTAAAGAAATTTTTAACGAAAATAGATAACTGTAATTTTAACTTTGCATTTTCATTTTTTGATATGACGAAGGCTCAGACCTTGCCATCTTTGGAATTAAATCACAGCTACTGCAGTGGTGAATGATGAAGATTATAAAATATGCAGACATGTCAATTCTATCCATGTGTAAGATCAGACATTAGCTCAAAAAAGTGCAGGCCTTAATACATTGAAACTTAAATTTACTATTTCTTTTGTTATAGACATACAAAACAAATATTAAACCTTTCAGGTTACAGTGTTCAGAGTTTACTTATTTCTTCATTTTTGGGCTGCCTCTGAACATCTCTGACATTGAAAACAAATAATTTATAATTGTAGAATTGCCCATCTTGACAAACAAATATCAAAACGAGAAACTTGTAACAAGTTATTATTATGGTAAATCTGTTAGTTAGCTCCCTTGCTTTACCTCACTCATGTAAGGCTTTACAGTAACTTCTCTGAACAACATTTCAGCATCTTTTGTCTTGTCAATGATGGCATATGTTCTTAGAACACGAGATAGCAGATTCAGCTCTCCAGTCTGGAGTCCTTCTTGAAATGCTGCTTCCAATTTCTTTTGAAGGGTGCTTGTTATGGCTGCAATACGCTTTGTAGAAAAAGAAAAAGTGCCCAGCAATCAACTTACTGCAATAGCAAAAGTCTACACTAATAGACAGCGTGATTTATTCAACGTACTGACATTAACAAAAGCTTTATCCAGGACAAAAACAGCTGACCATTTCATTTATCTAAGTTTATTGCCAACAGTTTTTTGTTACATGTATAATTTTATCATTATTTTTAACAAATTGATGTTTACAGATAAGTGTCTATTTTGAAAATGTAATCACTCTCGACACATCCAATATAGTTTTGCATAAACACTGACTCTGACCAGGCTTGGATCTGTTTTCTAGTTGCTCAAAAGAGAGAATGATCTAACTTACAAGAGTTTCTTCCTTGGTAAAAGTACTAGACAGTCTTCTTTTACGTGTTGATTAGTTTGTGCATATTTTTCAGTTTGCCATTCACGGCAGTTTACTTTTTGTAGCCAATTTATCTACTGCAGCTCTGATTTCAGTTATCCTTTATCCAATGAGAAAAAAGTGATACATATCTAAGAGTCTTGTGTATACACAAAGTTACTACTGCTACAAAGTAAAACCTGAATTTGAGTTGAAGGAGCTTCTCTTTCAAGTTTGCTTTTATGTCAGGTGAAATAGAAACGCCACTTATAACACTTATAAATAACTGAAACATAACTCTAAATGTTCAGTCAGACTCAATAACAATTTGTTCAATAGTATTGGAGACATGTTATTAAACTTTTAATGCTTTATTACCCAAATTAATTTCTTGAACACTTTCAGTCTTAGTCTCACAGAAATACACTTAAAAGATGTCAACAGATTGTAACAATATTATTATAGTTAGAAGCAAAGGAATACATTAAATGTATACAGGCAAGTCTTATTTAGATTTTTTTTAAGAAAACTTAATATGAGAGAGGAAAAGATTAAAATACAAAAGTCCAAAACACAAGAAAGGATGAAGACGAGTCTGACTAACCCCTCTGATGCTTTCCACCAATGGATGACCTTGACTCTGAGTAACATAAAACTGCAGCTGATTAAACTCACTGGCCACTCTCTCAATCAGGTGTGAGTCATCATCCCTACAAGAAAATATTTTAATTTATACAAATACTTCTTGTAAAAACTGAAACAAAACTGAACTGAAGACCATAGCAGTGTTTGCTCACCCTTCGGGTTCTTTGGAGGACACATCCTGGGTTAGCCTTGACCCTTGTAATAGTCTCTCGATCTTCTCCAGTGACTTTGTGATGTTCAATAAATGTTGCATACACATCTTGGAAAGAAAAAAGACATTTCCAACATCAAGACTTTTGTTTCAAAACTTAATAATACCCATGCTTTAACTTTAGACCCACATCTAGTGGACCCACAATTAGTGCTATGATGAGTATTGCCAAAAGTCAATAAAGTAACTCATACAACCAGAATAACCCATAAGCCACTCATGTCCACAATGTGGACCTATTTTTTATGAAAAGAGTAATTCCATTTTATGCAAAGGTTAGCTCATGTCAGTCATCATTCACTGGGAAATCTACGACTTTGCTCATAGAGCACTTCGATTTAATGATAATACCTTTTTCTGTCTCAGCAATGCTCTTTCATCTAGTTTGTTTTGTATTGCATCAATAGTTCCATCAAGATCAGACTTAATGAGCTGAAAAATAAAAACATGCAATTGTAATTTACATGAAGGAGTATCAAGAGTGGGGTGATAATCACTTACTCAGTCAGTCAGTCAGTCACTAGGTTCTCCAGGCTGGATAAATTGTACTGCTGGTCAGGGATTGACTACAGGGAAGGGGTGACCTGTACCATTTACAAGGTCTACAAAGCTCTTAATAATTGGCCAAAAAATAGATAAAGAACAGAAACAATGCCCCTAGCCCTAATATTAAAAAGGTAATGGTTAACAATAATGAATGAGAATATCGGCTTCAAAGTGGTGCAAATCCACCCCAGGGAACAATAATTGAGATAAGAGGGACGGAAAGCTGAGAGGTCTTAGTTTTTGAGATTCAGAGGAGATCTTAGGTCTTTGGTCTTAGAGCTTAGAGCTTAAGTTTTGAGACACCCAAATGATAGCTCCAGATAACACAGAGAGATCACATATCTTGCGCCAAGTGTTGCGATGACAATCATGCAATTGCTTTTTTTAGGGAAAAAAGTAGTCAGTTTAATTATTTATTTAGTTTTAGCTTTAGGCTAATAAAATAGGCAAATAAATAAATTCAAAATAGTATGGGATGTGACGGGGGAAAGAAACAGAACCAGCATCCCAATTGCAATCTAACCCCCTAATACACTCAACATACATGTACATGCACTTAATATATACACTAAAAATAAACAAAAGCAAATAAAAATGTGATAAATATGTAAATTAAAGTTTAAGTATCAAACCTTATTAGTTTCTAGCCTGGAGGACTATAAATTCCTCGCTTTGATAAATGAATGTTAATTGAGCTGGTCTTAAACGTAGCGAATAAATTAATTGCTTTAGTACTGGATGGCAATGAGTTCCACAGTTTATGAACTATGTTGCTGCATTTATTTATTGGCCACTAAAATGCAAAACTTATTCCATGGAAATCACTGTGGTGGCCTGTTACTTCATACACAAACACTTACCAATACTTCTTCTTTCAGTTGTCCTAAAGGAACTGACAAACTGGCAATGTTCTTATCCATTCCAACCTGAAATAAACCAGTAAGGACGGTGGTCTCATGGTTAGTGCACTCACCTCCAGATCAAGTGGTCTGGGTTTGAGCCCTGGCTGGAAACATTGTGTTGTGTTCCTGGGCTGGACACTAAACTATAGCGACTAATTACAGGAATGGCTCCGACCTCCGAATGCACTAGGAATGAGTATGGTTAGCTATTTATAGCACCCGGTTAGTCTACCTTTCACTCAGGTTAGCCTACTGTTTGCTCTAGTTAGCCTAACTAGTGTTCCGGTTAACCTACTGAGTTAGCTCTTAATATTTGTAATAGTAACACAATATATTCTTAAAATAATTGCTTTCCAGCATCCAGCTCTATAGTGGTGTAGTGGTCATGAGACTCACTCATGACCCAAATGACCCGGGTTCTGATTCTGGCTTGCAATTTGTCTTTTTCTTTTTCCTTGTTTAGAGAGAAAACCTCAGTGTCCGGAGCCATTCCTGCAATTAACACCATGCCACTAAACTCTCACAGTGTCTCTGTATAAATATTTAATGCTGGGGGTAACCCTGTGATGGATTAACATCCCCTCCTCATGCCTCAGAAACCAGAGATAAGCGCCGGCCTGATGGGCAACTTGGCTCGTATCCAGGATCAACCTCTCAATACACCTACCGCAGTCTAAGGCTTAATATTTGTTCATTTAAGCTTACTGACAACAGTAACACATAACAGGAACTTGTCCAAAATGTACTTGCTTTATCGCTACTTAAGCAAACCAAGTACTCACCAGGTTTGTGGACAAATTCACGAAGTCGGCATAATCCTCGTTGATCAACTCAATCAGGGCATGTTTTAATGACTTCAAATAATCATCTAAATTTGCTTTCAGAGCATCTAGAGGAACGCTCCCTTTGCAGCTTCCAACAAAGCTATCCACACTAAAAGATTCCTTCATGAAATCTGCTCTGGAAAAGATAGCCGAGCTTGGTTCTCGAGGAACGATTTCCTCCAGAGAGTCCGCCATTTTGTTCCAACTCATCACATCGAAAAAGTGCCAGGCATCCTTCCCTCTGAGGCCCACTTTATGAAGGCACGTCAGAAGATCTGAAAAGTGGGCCCCAGCAAATATTGCTTCGAAGCGGCACATTCGAAAATAATCACGCTGACACGTTTTTCAGTTTTCGATTAATATTTATGGCAAAAGAGGTTGAAATTCAAGTGACTTTCAACGAAGGAGTCGGCCAGTCTATAAATTCACGACTGTTGAGGGGCTGCATCGAATACCTTCTGTACCAACGGCAACAACTTCCGATACCTTACCACGAGCTAATAAAATTGGTAGAAGATCAAGAAAAGTCGTGCGATGGCTTAGAAGCAGGCGTATTGGCCCGGCGATCCTTTAATACTGAATACAAGAAAGCTAAGAAAGTGTATGAAGACGTGGAATGCTTGTTTGATCACATAAACAAGCTGTTCCTGTCGACAAAAGTCAATGCTGCCATGGTTCTGCTCGGGTCAACCCCGGTCAGTCCAAAAGAACATTACTTTGTTGATTTTCAAAACGTTAATGAAGGTAAAACTGTGGACAGTTCACCAAGAGTATGCAATTCAGCTTGTCGAAAACTGATACGGAGCTTGATTTCGAATCAAGAACTTGGTTCTTTCAAGGAGATTTCTCCTACTTCCATGTTGGTTTTCATTCAGGTTAGCAGATCGTCCGATATTGAGTGGTTTCAACCAAAGCCGACTTTCAAGCCACCTCACCGAGGTCAATCCTGTAAAATAAACGTTAGGACTACCAGCTACAACGAACAACCGGCTGCCAGTGAGGGCGAACCCCCTGAACATAGCATCGATGAGTGGTTATGGTTTCAGGCTCCAGTTATTATCAGGGGGTACAGGCACAGAACCGGTGTCGGTCCCTAGTATAAAATAATGTAGGATTTTATTTTAAACAATATGCTCATTTTGGGAATCTTTTCAGACAGCCATTAGATGCTTTTATAATTGAGGATCTAAGCACCTTTCCCAAAGTAGCACTGGTGCAAAATGCATGATATGATTGACAGTTAAACTGGCACAAAAGTTTAATTGCTTTTGACCTTCTAGCTCTCCCATAATCTGAGAGCCTCCCAGATTCTGACTGATTCCTGTTTTTTTTTTTTTAAATCCTTGGAAATCTCCCAAAATGGGTAGTGCTGAAGCACCCATAGTCTGCAAAAAAAAACAGTAATACTACTACAAGTCAAATTTGATTTCCCTAGTTCCCTACACATTGGTATTAGTAATTGGACCGTGTGGAGGACAATTCATTGAGTAATTACGGATGAGCGTGACGTGCAAGGCCGATTTTACATTATGGGCACAATTACTCCCTGAATTGTAAGACACAAGGTCCAATTACTAATTAACCATATCTATTGCAAATTTTGGACTTAAAATGCTTTTTGAGAACTTTTTTTGAGCGAAAACGTCTGTAGCACTTTTCATGAGTTTTGAAATCTGTAGGAAACATTGCAAAGGAAGCCATTGAAGCGTGTGTAATTGATGTGCAAATAACATGTACCTGTAATAATTATTGGACACCCATGTAATTGCATGCCGATTATGTGACAAATAGGTGCACAGAGAACTAGTCACCATCAAGAATTTTGTTATAGATACCATTAGACAAAAAATTTTCCCTATTTTCCTTTCTGTGCCAAGGATTCGAAGAAGCAAAAAAAAGTGAGGGGAAAATTGCCATTTCAGTACAGAAGAGCTGCTCATACTCTCCTGATACATAGCTCTATGAATTTGCCCATGTTTTTCAGTTTGGTTCAGATGGACAGAGCACCAGTTTAGGGTTATACCATATTTTAGGGGATGGGCAAACCAGTTGCATACTTTACACTTAATTCATGCATCTATTCCACCCACTTTGCATAGTGTGTGAACCTGAAATTAGGTAATGTTGAAAGAAATGTGTAGAAAAAAGACTGAATGCTTTGTGGATCTCTATCCATGTCTGTCAAATTTGATCAGTAAAATATTTTGTTGGTTAGATCTTTAATATCTACAGACTATACTTATTTCAGATCAGTCTATGTAATTTTCAGTAGTACCCTGCAAAACTTGAAGATAACCAGCAGTAATAATTATTTCAACCCACTTTTGCCCAAGTCCTCATTAACAGCTTGTCTTTTCCATATGTGATAATGTTCTTAATTTTTATTGTAGTCCCTTTTTGAGTCTGATTATTTTGTGGTAGTATGCCAATGTACAGCAATTAGGACAATTTTCAATCCTGATACAGTTCACCATTGATGAAATGAATCTTACTTCCATAAGTCAATTGTTACTGGAAGTTTATTCCATATATTTGTCAAGCCTGCTGTTTTTAATGCTCTTTAACTTCAATATAAAAAGAAATTTTAAATGTACCAGTTTATTGATTGTCAATTCAGTTAAGGTGAAATCTGTGACAGGTTTATGAACAATCTTCAGTTACTGATACTGAACTGATAAATGAAACACTTATGGTGCCTGCGAACAGGCTCCCAGCTGGGTTTAATGCAAGCTAGCCGAGTGCAGTTTTTGTGATCTGGGACGTGCAGGGCGAACTGAGAGCGGTCTGGTGATGAGAGAGCTAAACAGCTTGCTTCGCTCGCCGAATATTTTTTCCACCCTTGCTGGGAACCTGTTTGCAGGCTACACTTATGGCTGCCTGCTGCCTGGCCAGTCATTACATTGAGTTCCATTTACATTGCCTGTCTCCACCCAGGTGTATAAATATGGTTACCATAAAATTTAACGCTGGGGGGTAAAGCTGTAAATGACTAGCATCCCATCCAGGTAATACTACGCAAGCTCCACTTGACCCGATGCATACCGCTGAGTTGAAACTCAGTCATGTTAAGGGGAGCCTCTTGATATCGCACTGTCAGAAACACACTTTCCAGGGATGAATACAATACAGTAAACAGCTGCATATAAGAACACACGATTTCAGAGGTCAGGCTGATTGAGTTCTTATTTATCGGGTGCTTAGTGACAAATCAGGCTCAAAATGTTCTTAAAATGTTCTTAAATTTTTATTTAGTAATACTGTCCAAAACATGTTTAGGCTGATCTTGTTCTTAGAAAAATGGGGCTTTATTGGCCAAATTTCAGCCTGGTGTTCTTAATCCATTTGTTCTTATGTGTAGGTGTTTACTGTAGCTCAAGATGGTCCAGTCCATTGAATTTTCACGTGAACTACATGTACTTCTACGGATACTTGGTCCAGTAAAGTGATTTGACAGTTTTCTAGAAAATGTAATTATGTCAGTACCTGTTATGGAACCACACCCCATTACTGTTTTCTGGCACTTTTTGCTTTACTTATCCTCTGGCCAGAAACTTGGGGTGTGTTTCTTTCACATGACACATGATCAGCATTGCAATCAATGATCTCAGACCAGCTGGTGGGTGCATCAAGGCAACCAAAGAATTTACTCTGTTCAAGGATTTTTTGGTTCCTTTAATGCACCATGATATGCGTGATTTGGTTTATTTATCCACCCTTGGTGTTGCACAGGTCCAGCACATGGTCTAGGAAATGTTGCAGAGTCGACACATTGAGTGAACGATCTAATGGTATTTATTTATTTATAGATCTTGCATGCTGCAAAATGTTTGTTTTACATTATCAGTCTTCAGTCTTAACTTCAAGACAAATGTTTTAAAAACAAAAAAAGAAACCTTCTCAAATGTTTTGTTGTAAATGCAAATTTACAACAAAAGATGCATGATGCAAAGGAGAGAAAGATATCAAGCAAATTTTAAAAGCAGAAAATAAGACCAGGGACATCCAATCACTCCATGTAGTAGACTTGGTTATCAAAGGGGGGGGGGGTTATGATCCATATTTGGGAGATTCAAGGATTATGTACGAGTAAAGGTAAGCATTATGATTCACACATTTATTTCTTCATCCATAATCACACTATTTCTGCAGCTCTACATTAAGGATCATCTGTGATCCTTAAATTCAGTACTACTACTACCTGAATATAAACTGACATTATCCTATAACAAATCTCTGGTAATTTTTTAATTATTTAATAAAAGTTTTTTATCACTGTGATGTAAAAGCCTGTGACCACTGAGTGTGAAACGAAACAAACAAAAAAACTATCTAAAAAAATATACTTCTATGAATATAAAAGCAGTCAAGGACATGTGGCTTGTACAATGAAAATTATTCTTTGAAGTTGTTAGAGCCACAATGTGAGTGATTCATGTACAGCGATTTGATTGGATCCAAGTCTTTTTCATTACTAGTGGTAAGAGCTAGGTAGAACTGTCATACTGCGAATAAAACATATCACTTCTCATCTGCCAAGATTGCAAGAGAAAAATGCAGGGCCATTGCTAGTAACAGGCAAACCAAGCCACTTGCCTCCGTCATCTTTTTTTTGTTGTTGTTGTTTATAGTCATCATAAACACCCTAAATACCTAGGAGGAGAATTCAATCATGGACATTGCATCAATCATAATTTTTTCATGGACATTGCCTCAGTCATAATGTTTTCATGGACACAGCCTCAGTCATAATTGTTTCTGGTTAAGAGTTATAAATCAGACATTCAACATGACTGTTATTGCAACAAGTATTTGAGTCGTAAAAATAAAATTATATACCAGTAATTTTAACTTTAACAACCTGTCTATGACAAATTTCAAGTAAGAGCTGACAGCTGTATTTTTCTAATTATTTAAAACTCATTCCTTATCACAGTTATGACTCAACTACATTTGTATTTAGAAAAAAAATATTTCCTCCTTTATAAAAATATCTTAATATGTACAATATTCATTTACAAAGATTCCTAGCTTGTTTTTCTTTGTGTAATTAAAATAAATAGTGAGTTGTTGTAAGAACATGCACCTCTTAAAACAAAACAGGAAACCAAACTAATTTACATCAGTCAGACACCAATATTAAAATAATACACCTCAGGAAGAACAAATTTGTTGTAACTTGAGATCATTCTCACAGAGACAACAGAGGAACAGCCAAAACATTTTATGGTACACTGTTAACAGAAAACACTGAAAATCCCTAAATTACTGACATCTCCAGTGTACACCAGATACACTGACAGTTTGTTGATAAGTCATTTAGTCTTCTAAAATAAGACTTACATGTATCTTGGTTTAAGTTTATGTTGTTGCATAATTTGTGCAACTAGACCATGCAATATGCTTTGTACAGAAATTCTCTTTTTCAAGAATCTTAACTCTTACAGGGAATCTTAGCTAAAAAGCAGTTTTGTTCCAAATCACAAGTTGGTCTTCATGTTTAAAGTGTTTCAACGATTTGAAGTTGAAAAGTCTTTTGCCGGTTTTGAATGCTGGACATATAGTTTCTGCTATTTAAGGATTTCAAATTTTCTGTGCGCCTGACATTTATTTTTGCAAAGCTTGATAGGAAATTATCACATCATTGTGTGCAAGATTAAAATGCAGCATTGTGTGATTCTACAGAAATAAAAGTGTCCCTAAATCATTAAATGAATTTCATATTCCTGATGAATATGTTCGGTTCCAATGAAAAATCTTCTGTAGACTCCATATTGAGAAGTCTAACAGCGCAATGATGTCATAAATTACCATAAACTAAACATGTTGCCACCCAGGTGATTTAAACTGAAAGCCAAACACTTCTTACTCAAAACGCTTGCAAAGATGTCAACCTAAAACCCCTGGATCAGTTAAAGATAACCATTTGGTGTATACACTGGAACCTAAACTGCCTTTAAGCCAAGATTCCCTTTAAAGACAAAGTGCAATGCTGATTGCTTGTCTCTTTGAGGAGCTATAAGGTCTAATGGAGGAATAGTGACCATTTAGATTAGTGTGTTGAGTGTTCCTTGATTGTCTAAGGTGCCCTGAGTATCTGTGCCCATCTTTCAAAATTGACGACAGCTAGCCTGCAGTCCTGTTGTCCTATGTTCAATCACACTTGTCAATACCATGAACCACAGAGAGGGCTTCCACAACACAACTGAATGCAATGTTAAAAACCATGAGTACCTCCTCGTTTTGAGTTATCAATGGCTGGTAATTTGTAATGTGCAAACTTCTGGCTTGTTTGGTTCTGCAGGACAGATGAAAACTGTTTAACACTAGAGGGAATTTATTAATTAAAACTGAACTTTGATTTCAATTTCTTTTCAAATAAAAATCTATTTAAATATTCATGCACCTTTCAATAACATCTAGAGTTTGTGACCTAAGGCCCGGATTAAACGTCGCATTTCACATGCACTGAATCTAATTGCTGAATTAAGTGCATGTAAAATGTGACGTTTAAATCAATTAAATGCGACATATTTCAATTAAATGTGAGTTCAGTCGAATACACGACTGAAGTTCGACAGTTGATTTAAACACCGCATTTTACATGGGCCGAATCTAATTCATAAATCATGTTAAATTATATTTTACCCACAACTCCACAGTTTTGTGCTGCATGACATGCGCACAACAAGCTGAAGGGAATTTTTGGCAGCAGTTGCAGCAGAAGATGTATCATGTAGAAGGAAGGCTGTTGAAGATGCCAGTATATGTGGTTATTGCTTCACTCCGATCGTGTAATGCAGTTATGCAAAACCAATTAAGCTTAAGTTTCATCCTTCAAGCAAAAACCGCTCTGTGGTACATGACATGCGGAGTAGGAAAGCAATATGGCCACTGTTAAGTATAATAGTGTGTGTGGTGGTTCTTAGTTCTCTTCAGCAAAGTTATGTAGAAGATGGAGAACGAAGTCTACAAACTTGAATTTGACCAGCAGAGTGAAAGGAAATCAGAGTTTAAAAGGTAATGAACTGCCATCTGCATTATAAATCACCCCATTCTGTTTGCTCAAATGGTGTATGAAAGGTATGAATGATCTTAACACAAAATGTGCTCCTTATCATTGTCAGCCGCATTGGTGGGAAACTTAGAGTGGAGTCAGCTGGGAATGAACACGTCGCTCGCGCTCAGCAATTTTATTTGGCCAAAAAATGCGACATTTAAATCAAATCAGCCGAACTTATTCATTCAAGTTGACTAAAATTAGTATTTAATTTGGAGCATGTAAAATGCGACGTTTAAACCGGGCCTGACTAATAGCTGCATTTTCGTTTGCTCTCAATGGCACTAATAAATATTTATTATGATGACAGGAAACAAACCTTGGAAAAAAAGAAACACTTAAAATGGATCAAATTCTATCAAACCCAACCCACAGACATAACTTTTTGAACCCGTTGAAGTAAACTTCTGTTTCCTGAGAGGTCCAACTACATTTTTACATGTAAATATAATTTCAAGACAGCACTGTAATTATTATAACTTGAGTGACGTTAAAATGGCAAGCAGTACAATAAATTCCATATACCTTGACTTTATTTTTTTCCTGGTGAATGATGGAAGGAAACGATGTGGGAAAGGTTGTTGTTTGTATTGTAGTTGCAACTGGTATCTTCGGTAGACTTGTGCCAAAAGTTGTGTGCTTGTATCCAACACCTAGAGATGGTAGTGATGGCTGTTGATGTGCCACTTCACCAGTTAAGCCAATTCTTTCTTCTTTTGGAAGAAAAGACTACAAGAAAAAAAAGTATCAAATCAATAAAGAAACTAAAATGAGCTGTCCATCCTTGACTTAATGTTAACACATATTAATGGTTTTAAACTGAACATGGTAATGCCATGAAGGAGACACAATACCACAACCACAAACTAAAGGCCCTGGTTATTCTTCACCATATCCTATAAATATCAGAATTATCCCATCCCTAAGTTACCACATGGTTTTGGAATTTAGTTCAAGTAAATGAATGTACATTTAAAACGCCAAACATCAAGCAAATACAATTACACAAACAGAATCTTCTTTTTAACCGCACAGCCATGGGCCGAGCGCAGTTCATGGTTTACCTGTGGTTTATTTTTATTTTTTTTGTCGGTGACCAGACGCAGACCTCCGCTCAGCCAAATTCCGAGTCACACAACATGCAATGTTTTTTCCGCCAGAAGCTGTTAAAACATTAATACACGGATAATTTTACGGATATTGTTTCCTTTGTTGTGGATAAAATATATTTTCTTTTGGTTTTATTGAAGCGTTGGATTCAAAGGGAATAATAAATACGCTAAAAAAAGGTATTACGTCAGCCATTAAATGTGTTGACCTTGCAGCTTTCACTTTCGCTACATGACTAATAAGATTGTGTTTACTTTGCAAGTTTATTTCGCCAGAAGCAACGGTCATTAATTTATTTGCAAGTTTGTGAGTATTTCTTGTGGTTTTAGGCAAATGAAGTAAATTCTTTGGCTGTTTCATCGCAGCGAGTTCATAGATCGGAAGGAAAATGACAGAAATATTTGCAAGCCAAGCAAAGAACATGTCAGAAAATGCAAGGATTACATCATTGGTAGGGAAATAACCTCCATACTAAAGATAGCCGTGGATAACGCAATTCTTGAATTATGTGACTTGTGCGACTTCTTTGCTAGCCCTTTACTCAAGGAAAAAAAATTAAACTTAATCTTGACTTTTAAGAAAGAAAGCTGTTGTTAATAGTGTTCGTATCTTCATGCCCATACATATCCCAAAGAAAGTTCCAGGTTAAGACTATTACGTCATCGGAGATTTCACAACGGCTACAACTGATGGTGCAATAGTACAGTCTGTGTTGATCAAGTGATGTGATGTCTACAGTAATCAATGAATCATCAAGGATTACTTTCGAATGTGCACTGCGTTG